CATGCTGAACTGGGACATTCTTGTTTGCTGTTAGCGAGGAACTGCAGCTCGTGCTCTGGCAGAAATCCACACTGAAAAACCTTTTAACATTCTGGGAGCTCATTCCAGATGCCAGTCTGAATGCAATGCATAAGCCCCTATCCCACAACTGTGACAAACAAAGGTCTGACAAAGCAAAAAACACACAGGCACTACGAAAAAGTCTCTCTGCTATGTGGCTTTCAACTGAATAATACGGCAGTAATTTTGACACAGACACAGAGTTTTAAATACTCAAAAAATTGAGAGACTGCAAATCATATGCAGTTTACCAGAAGTACGCCCCTCCTCTGTTCCAAAATGCAAAGCTTTAGGCAAAACTACAGATTCATATGTAATTTTTTCCCCTTAGTCATACAAAAAGCTGGATGCCATTTGGTGCACAGTGTCTGACAGCATGAATTTTGAAAGTCTGGTTCCAGGTCAGACCAACATTGCCTGGCAAACACAGAGATTAAGAGTTTAATCCCAAAGAACAGTGGAACAACCAACTGGAGACTACTGTATTTCTGATTAAGTCATCATCCAAAGTCTGCATCTAATTTTGCCAGAATTCTCTCCAGAGTAAAGATGCCAAAAATGGCAGTGGACATTTATGAATTGATTTTTCACCTAATAAAGACAGAACTGCTACACTCTCCTGGCTAATAATAAGTATTGGCACTCACAAATCTCAGGAAATTAAAAAAAAGTAAACTGTAATTGTCTTAACTTCTTGGTCTAAAACATATTAGTCAGGAACTTAGCACTACACCTGTACAACAGGAAGAGTATCCCATTACAGAAAACATACTGTAATAAACTCTAAAATGACCATGTGATGTGTGCTAATAATTACCTCTTTTCCAAAAAATGAGTTTATTTGTAATACCAGGAGTTTCTCTTCTTAGATTTTTAATCTGGCATACATGGGTGCAATTTCCAGGATTCATAACTGAAGAATCAAAACTTTTAGACAACAGACAAGCTTTCAGAAAACGAAAACCAAGGTCAAGAATTATTTTCAGTTCTTTGCTACTTAAGAAAATTGCCTGCAACTCACCAACGTTCTAGTATTAACTTACTAAATCCATGATCTCTTAAGAGATGAAAAATTACTTTCATGGAAACATACTGTAATATTCAAATGTTTCCTAATTCTTTAGGGGAAGGGACCACTTCTGCTGTATAATTTATAAGCTGCTGACCATATTATTAGTTTTTATCAATATTCTGGTTTTGCATTTCACAGCAAGCTTATCACATCAAAGACATAATCAAGCCATGAAATGAGATCTGAACTCAGCCTACACAAACAGAGTAATAGTTTCAATATTAAACTGTTTGCTTTAAAACAAGCACTCCACCTGTACTGCAAGTGTTGAGCCACTGGAAAGGTATGAAAAGCCATCTAGATGTGTGGACAACAAAACCTGCTGACCAGTGAACTGCCCTATTTTAACAACTTCTGGTTGATATAGTCATGTTTACCAAACACTAAATGAGGCTTACAGGAAGCCACACAGAACAACACCTAAGGCTGCAGATTTAGACACTGTTTAACAAAGCCAGGTGGTGGTCAGCATTTTACCTCCATGTTATTGTAGTTCTAGCTATGTAGTTACTTTCTCTCAGCAGAAACCTGCCCTTTCCCACTGAATGTTGGTTAGTATTTACAGGATGATGCTGAATCCAAAACTGAGGATTTTCTCCAGGTGCTGTACAAAAGGCAAGAATGACTTCACCAGTTTTATGCCTGCACTCTGTTTCAGACACCTCTCTGAAACTTTCTCTCACTAGTGAGAAGGAAGTCGCACCTTTTAAGGGTTTCCACTGGGCAAAAAGCACAACGCCCTTGCATTGTTTCATCCACTAACACGAGGCACCCCCTTGGCCATTCTGAGAACAGTAGATTGTTATCTTTTTCTTTAATTTGGGGCAACAGTCAGAGGACACTTTCTGAAAGTCCGTAGTAAAAAAGAATAAAAATTAACTGTACTTTTAGGTTGACAAGAAGCTTATATTTCGCTTTGTAATGTGTGCACCTATTTTGCATAATTTTAGCAATTCAAGAACTGTTAATGATAATGCTTTAAAGCAATCTCCTGAATTCTAGAGAAAAGGTTAAGCATATTTTAAGCAATTACTAGACACAACAATAGGTCATTATATGAGTTCAAAACCCTTCAACCAAATCAAGTGTAATTCATGCTTTTACTTCTAAAGTTTTACATTGATGTACACAATATATAGTACGGTCCCACATAACCTGGTTCTGTAACAGATTTCTACATCTCCCTTTCAATTAAACAACATTGTTTAACATACCATTTCTCCCTTTACTGTGAGAGACTTCAGTGGAAAGCTTTTCCTATGGTGATATCTACATCTTACTTCAATTAGAAAAGAACAGTTGATACCTCTATTTTACTGCCATCTGCTTCTTTACTTTTCATGAAAATGCATGACTTGGAAAGAAAACGTGTACCTTATTCAGAAACATTCTTGTCATTCCTCAAGAACAGCAAGGGAAATAGTAATACCAGAGAGAGGATATTTTATCTTGCTACTTAATTTACTATGTGATAATAGGAACCAAATAGACAAAGTCATAGAAGGCCCAGTTTTCAGTAATAAAAGCACCAGATGGGATTAACTGCAGGGCTAAACATGCCTTAAGTGTCCAGTTGTAGAACAAGGAAATGCTTACAACATACAAATTAGGTTCTTTTAAATTGCCTAGTTTTTCATGACAATGCTTATAAGTAATGTCATGAAAAAAGCCCAGGCAGATCACAGAAAACATTCACCTGTCTCCTACACCCTGCCTCCTACAGAGGACGCCAAAAGCAGGTATTTAGGCATGCCTATCAGAAAAGGGCAAGTAGGCACAACACTTTAAACAAATACTTACCCACTTTCCAAAAATTAGCAACTTGAGCAATGAAGTTTCTCTTCTGCAAATTGTCCCTGCATCTTCAACTTTTTATTTTTGGCATCAAAAAATATGTTTTAATTCCAGAGAAGCAACTGTTTTGTTAAAAGTATGAATAAACTTACAGATGAAGTCTCCTTCAAGCATCACTGCACATTCTTGTATATAAAGTTTAATATTTCAGGACTCCTGTTAAATATCAAATACTCTAGGGAAAAAAGTGTCTGTTTCACTAACATTTTAAATTAATCAGTAACTCTCATCTGGAAGACAGTTGACATTTACTCTAAGCTACATCCATTTTTTTGCATCTGTGTACAAACTTTCAGGTTCTCAATACTGAGTTCACAGATGCAAACTTGAAAGCAACATTTTAAAAAAAGGTTACTCACTACACTTCTTGTATTTTGCTTTTATCAGGTGTCAACTTTACAACAGTTAGAATGTGACCACATCCCTCTGACTGCAGTCATGCAAACAAAAAGGTTCAGTCACCAGTCAATCCTGAAAGAAACATCAGTAAAGGCACCAATTACCTGCATCAGTTTTCTTGAAAGTTCATTAGTGAGGAATTCCTCTTCCTTTTCATAGTTTACTGCAAGAGTTTCTTTTTCTTTCTGTAGAGCTTGAATCTTCTTAAATAGAGTATTACTGATGAATTCCTCTTCCTGTTCTGCCCTTGCTTGCTGCGAAGTAAAGAGAGAGTTATAAGCAAAAAGGGAGTAAATTTCCACATTAAAAGCTGAAATCGTTCCATTCCCCTTCAAATGCCTAGCATCCTGGAGAACAGTAGGCTGGATGTAAGTGCTGTTACCGTCCCCTTTTGTAACATTATATCACCTTTCTTCATTTTCTGTTTTCCATCTTTAACTTGGGAAACTTTAAAGTGGCCTCCTCCCAATCAAATGCACAAACTCCCCAACCTTATAAAGTTTATAAAAGCATTATGGATTCACAGATACCTATTTTTACCTACTCTATGCCTAAAAAGAAACTCCTGTCTAAATTTTGTCCACTACAAGCTGAAGCACAGCTCAGACTGTTGCATCCAGCACCGTGCCTTCTTTTCAGATCCCTGCTTTCTAGGAGTCAAATAATGCATTTATTCTTTCACCCAGATACGCCTTGCTACTGAGCCACAGGCACCACGGCTTGTCTCACAGGAACTTCTACCCAACCACCACCCTAGGAAAAGGGGTTTCTTGCTTCTCAGAACTGTTACTCCACTATACACATCAAATTACAAAAATGCCATGTGGTAGCTTTACTCCCAGCTACTCTGGAAATCTAGAATCACTAGAGAAGATAATTTCCATATCAGCTTTCTAACAGCATCCAGGCACTGCTCCACAGAAAGCTAGCTGGGAACTTGCTCACTTGCATTCCCTACAGTTCAGATGTTTATATGTTTTTAAATATAAATAATAAAAAAATTGATAAATGGAGCACAGAAGTGATTTTTTGAAAGCCTGCTCTGAAACACTATGAAGAGTATTTCATATGGGCAAATGAATGATCACAGCTACAAATTGGTAGAGCCAACTCCTAATTCCACAGTCCAAATGAAGCCTAGAACAGCTGAATGACAGAAGTACCATATTTAACAAATGAAACAAGGTAGTGTTGAGGAGTGGTTTTATTCCCTGCAATAAAATCCATTACTAGAACTGCACGTGTGTGATTTGTCCTGATCCTAATAAAATGACACCAGTTTTCATCTTACGCAAACATTCTCTAAGTTTCATTTCAGTAAAATTTTAGAGAGGAAAATTTAAGAACTGAAACAACCACATTACTGAAAGCTTAGCTTCTATAATCTTCTGCCCAAAATGTGCCAAAATAACCATGTCTTCATACTTATTGTACACTGGAAAATGCTTGAAAGATTTCCTTATGTCAGTGATCTTTTAACTGGAACTGTATGTTCCCTAGTGGTCCAAGAGACAATTACTTATACACAGACACCTTCCATGTCTAGAAGAAAAGTTAATTAAACAACATTACTGTCTTTAAATTTGGTGAAACAATAGGACAATTGCAAATTTTCCTCATGATAACATCAGCATCATAAAATCTAAAGCAGTGGTTTGGAAACTTCACAGTTGAGTCCTCCTCTTCACATTTTTATCTCTGCCTTCTCCCACCTCTATCGCTTTCTTTTCAAGGCCCTTTCCTACTATCTACCTGCTACCAGCTCCCTTTTCTTCCTGTCACCAGTAGAGTTGGCACAAACCCAACCTGAAAAAAAAGGAAGAGAAGAGGAAGAGAAGAGGAAGAGAAGAGGAAGAGAAGAGG